GAGACTCGCATGAGCCCAGGAGTTGGAGGTTGCTATGGGCTGTGATGCCATGGCACTCTACTCGGGGTGGGGGGGATAGCTTGAGGCTCCGTCTCAAAAAAAAAACAAAAAAACAAAGTCTGTGCTAATAACTACACTATATTACATCCTTATAGTCTAATTCAATGCTTCACCACCATTTTTTAATATTGTGACACACACAGAAAGCATATATTAAAAGTACATATTGAAATACATAGAGAATGATTTATTTCTAGGGATTCTAGGGTAAAAGGAACCAGGCTGCTCAGTCATAGGCAGCTGAAGGATCACCCCCAAGGTGGAAGAAATTAATATCTCTACATAGAAATTAATATCTTAGCCATGTGTGACCCACTGATGTGCCAAAACTTATCTGGGGATATTCCAATAATTTATACATATTTTCATTTTATACCTTCTTAATATTGATATTATTTATACCCAGCTATTAGAAGAAAATTACCTATTATCAACCTAAACTTATTATAGCCCTTTTACTAAGTTTTCTTTAGGTTTAGAGAATAACAACAAGCATTAAAATTCCAGGAAAGCCTTTAAGAGGTCATAAATCCCCATTTCTTCTTCTTACAGATGAAAAAATATGCCAAGAGGGCTTGGTGCCTGTGGTTACAGTGCCAGCCACATACACCGAGGGTGGCAGGTTCGGGCCCAGGCCAGCTAAACAACTGCAACAAAAAAATAGCTGGGTGTTGTAGCAGGCACCTGTAGTCCCAGCTACTTGGGAGGCTGAGGCAAGAGAATCGCTTAAGCCCAAGAGTTTAAGGTTGCTGTGAGCTGTAATGCTACGGCACTCTACCGAGGGAAACATAGTAAGACTCCGTCTCAAAAAAAGAAAGAAAAAAAAGAGGTAAATGGTTTGCCCAAAGTGTCTTAGTATCAATACCTTGGTGAGCTTAAATGAATCCAGGACTTTTGCTTTTAAATTGTACTAATAACAGATCTATTTTACTCAGTGATCTTATTTCTTTCTGTTGTTTTTGAGCACTTTGAAGGTTCTGAAACTGAAACTCATTCTTCCAACTCTGCTATCCCCCACTACAAAAAGACACAAAAGCAGCATAAAATAGATTCTTTGATTCATATACACTTCCCTTTAAAGAATTTGAAAAATTTAAGACCCTTAAATGGCCAAACTTGTTCAAGGCATAGAGGTTCCACTCTCTTGGTCACAAAATGAATTCAACAGGTAATGGGTTCCTGACTTAGTATGGCCATAGCATGGCTGAATGTAAAGCATTTTTTAATTACCCTTTGGCATTTTTCTGCTTCTTTTCTTCTATAAATATAAATAATTCAGAGTGCTGTTCTTAAACAAGCATTATTCCTTTAAATTAAAGAATACATTTTTTCACTGTTTCCATCTGAACTCATCACCACTAGCCCCTAAATACATTTGTTCCAGAAAAAAAGGGCCAGTAGGAATTTGGGGGAGAAACACTGCAGAAAATTGGTCTCTTTTCTTGTAATCCTAAATAGAAGCTAGAAACTGAATAAAATTAAGTTGCAAAAGGAATATTAATTTGATCACAAATGACAAAACATATCTTCTCCTAGACTCCAGATTTTCAAAAGAGATCAAAAGAATTTTTCTCTCAAATAATTGAGTCTTGCCTAAATTTTCTAAGGTAATCTAAATTACAAGGAGAGCTAAGTGAGAAAAGCAGAGTGAAAATGAGTGTGTTTCAGATAGCAATAGCCAGTTTTTAAAATTGTTTGTCTACATAATATGCTTGTATATCCATAAATTATCTCTGAAAGAATACATAAGAAACTGATCAAAATGCCTCTGGGGAGTAAGTAGGAGTGGGTGATTGGGGGTGAAAAACTTTTCAATGTACTCCCTTGCATATCTTTGGCATTTTAAAATATACAAATATTATCACTTAAAAAATGATTTCTTATTTTAAATTCTTTAAATGAAATGAAACTATTTTGACCAATCTAAAAAATGCAACTTTTCCAATATTTAGTTCAAATCCTTAATCTAAACCTAATATAAACCTTCCTAGGCCAAAATGTATTTCTGGAACCCCAACCAACTGAATAGAAATGTAAATCATTGTTAAGTTAATAAGATGTTGTATACCTATAAACAGTGATGTATAATATAATATGTACAATCTAAGGTGAGAGAGTGATGAAAAACATTACCTTTTTTAAAAAAGCTCTAACCTGGGCTCAGTGCCTATAGCTCAACCGGCTAAGGCGCCAGCCACATACACCTAAGGTGGCGGGTTCGAATCCCCGGCCCGGACCCGCCAAACAACAACGATGGCTGCAACCAAACAATAGCCAGGCGTTGTGGCGGGTGCCTGTGGTCCCAGCTACTTGGGAGGCGGAGGCAGGAGACTCACTTGAGCCCAGGAGTCGGAGGTTGCTGTGAGCTGTAATGCCACGGCACTCTGCCCAGGGGGACAGCTTGAGGCTCTGTCTCAAAAAAAAAAAAAAAAAAAAAAAGCTCTAACCTGATGAATAGAGAAGGGAAAGGTAGGAAGTCACTTTCTGATAACTCAAATTGCTGCTCCTTTGTTTCAGATGAACTCCCTTCTTCCACAATAATATTGCACATTGGTTCAAAGAGAGAAAAAATACATAAACAGTTAATAAAGTTATAAAATACAACTTTCTTCTGTACACCTACTAAATGACTAAGGGCTAGACCTCCCTTCTTCCACAATAATATTGCACATTGGTTCAAAGAGAGAAAAAATACATAAACAGTTAATAAAGTTATAAAATACAACTGTCTTCTGTACACCTACTAAATGACTAAGGGCTAGACCTAGGAATAACACTTGAGGTTTTGATTTCTTTTTTCTTACCTTAGATGAAAAGCCAGAGGGGGTAGGGAGAGGAGAGTGGGGATAGAAATACCCAAAGTCTTCCACAAACCAAATCCCACTCAGTATACATAAGAAAAGATAGTATATAAGGAGGGAAAAACAACCTAGAAAAAAATAACAAACAGAACCAAGAGAAGATGAATAGGGCTGTCAAAAAAATAGAAAACATTTTATTTCACTAAGAACACTAAAAATCATCACATTAATTTTGAGATGACATAACCTAGTTCATCAGATCTCAACAAAAACCTCTAGGAGTCTTCTCCCTTTCCCAACTACATATCTGGGTTAACCTGGATTTCTCTCATATACTCCTACTAAAATAAGGTATCACAACAGACTGAATGAAGAAACAGATGAGAATCCAGTTTTCTATTAAGCAAGAAGTGAAAGAAACAAAAATGTAAAACACCACCATTCTTCACACTAAATTTTCTTTTCCTTCAGAAAACATGTTTTTCATAAAAACACTAGGTAATATGTTATGTGCTTATTTTCTAATAAATATTTTTTTTAAATTCTCAGTTTTAATTTGTGGTATCGATAGACAGAAAGCACACAAAAACTTTTTGGAAGATAAAAGGGTTCTCAGACCAAAAAGTATGAGCACCGACTTAGTGAAATAATTGAGTCTTGCCTAAATATTCTAAAAACAGTAATCTCTCTCCTTCCCCCATTTAGAATGTATTCACAAATTTCTTCCTCCTCACTATCCAATTATTCTCCTCTTTATATTGTTCCTGAAATTCCTGGTCTAAGAGAACAAAAGCCAACTCTTTAACATTGTCCTCCAATACAGACTCTCTAGACCTCAAAAAACTGTACTTAAAAATCTTTTTGGCGGGGTAGTTCACACCTATAATCTTAGTACTCAGGGAGACAGAGATAGGTGGATTGACTGAGCTCAAGAATTTGAGACCATCCTGAGCAAGAGGAAGACTCAGTCTCTACCAAAAATAGAAAAACTAGCAGGCGGTGTGGCAGGCACCTGTTAGTCCCAGCTACTTGGGAGACTGCAGCACCAGGATCACTTGAGCCCAAGAGTTTGAGATTGCTGTGAACTGTGATAATGCCACAACACTCTAGCCAAGGCGACAGAGTGAGGCTCTGTTTTTAAAAAAAAGAAAAGAAAAAATAAGAAAAAAACTTTTTTGAGCTAGAGTCTGATTTCCTTTTGGCATAATTTTATTGAGGACTTCTTATTTTTGTGCCTTGATTAACTAGTAGTACTTTGCTTGCTTGCTTTCTCTTTTTCTTTCTTTCTCCTTTCCTTTCCTTCCTTCCTTTTCTTCCTCTCCTTCCTTTCCTTCCTACTTTCTCCCTCTTTCTTTCCTTGTGTGCATGCAAGCTCAACAAGCCTGATTTAAACCCTTTTAACAAAAGAAAGATTACCTCTGTCCTTACTGCCCATAATACAATCTTTGCTATTGGGAGGAAGTGCCTGAACTAACCCTTGCACAGAAGTTTATACATAAATCAATACTGAACCAAAGCTTCTCAGTTCAGAGTGCAAGGGAGATACAAAAACACGACCATTTATCACCAAACACACGCTCTTTCTTCACGGACTGCTGACAGTTCACACTTGGCTGTCAGCTGCCAGAAACGTTTCCACCCGTGCCCTCAACTGGTACCGATCTTGACTGGGGTTATTTTCGCTTATAGGAGCACATACCGTGAGTCCCTGATTCCCCACCATTTCCCCTCACAGGGTGTCAGGGTTTGGTGTTAGAAAATGCCTAAATCCACCTTGAAAACCAAAAGAAAGAATTTTTGGTAGGCTTCCATTTTTCCTCTCTTTTCCCTCACCACATTCTCCGTTGGAGACAGCAATTAAGATGGGAGGTATCACAGAATCAAATGTCCTCGATTCTCCCACAAGGTAAACAGTGGCTTTCTAGCCTCTCTTTTCTGTCAACAATCCCACCATGAGAGGATTCCCCCTCAGCACCCCCTCCCACAAAGGCACAGTATCCTCCTTCTCGCTCAGATAGTCCTTACCCGCCAAGATACGGAGTTATTTTTGTTTGCTTCTTGGGTGTGAGTTAGAGATTGGACATTCTGAGGAGAAGGGGTAGGAGCTGGTTGTCGCCCGAAAGAGAAAGCTTCTCCTCAGGCAACAGGTACCAGTATCGGCCCCACCTAGACTTTCATCTGCAGCCACGGAAGAGCCAGCTACCGTCCAAAGAAAGGAGGTTCTACAAGCCAGTGGCAGTGTGAGCTACCGCTGCGGCTCTGCAAACCCTTTCAGCCTAGATGCAGCTTTCCCGCCACCAAGAAAAGGTGCGAGGACGCGCACAAGCTCCACCCCCTACTGGCGCACTGGGGCGGAGACTGGATGCACATGCGCAGTTGGAAACCGCGTCTGCGTTTGCGCAGCTTAGTTCCGCCATCTTCCAATTGTATGCTCACTAAAACTACAAATCCCACAAGCCTCGTGTGATTCACTTTAGGCGGCGTCAGCAGCGCCTGATTATTCCTAAAAGCTTATCTCTTTTTTCTTTCTAATTTTCATCTCAATCCCATACTACCTTTTCCACCCTCTTTTTTGCTTCCTGGTTCCTCTTCTTCCTTCTAATCTCTTTCATGCCCTTCTTTTAATATTTTATTTGTGACTATTCTGAACCCCACTCTCGCCTCGACCGCCCTCTTCACAAACACTCTGTTGGCAGGGAGACCAAGCCACCATAACTCTAGGGGAGCGACAAGGAACCGCTCCTTCGCCATTGGCCCAGGCATGGGGGCCCAAAGCGGAACGATTCCCGCCCACCCTCGCTTATATATAAGGCGGCACGAAGCCGCGGCGTGCGTTCGGGAAGGCCTGCAAGCGTGCCGGTATCAGTGGGCATCGAGGGAGCACGCCTGCGCTGGTGTCTGGGGGGTGGGCGGAGGTATTGGTGTCCGGGCAGTATGTGTGGAAGCAGAGTAAGGTGTGGTGTTACCAAGTGATTTGCGTTTGGGGGAAGGCGGAGGAGCGAGAGAACAACTCAGCCATTTCGGGTGAAGAGGAAGTTGGACGACATCGGCTGTGTAGTGCTTTTTTTCCCAGTTCAGCAAAGAATATTTCCGAGGGGGGTGAGTTAAAAGGACCTATCATATTTTACTGAGAACCGTTCATAGGAAGACAGCTGGTACGCTCCACTTCTTCCTCTCTACCTTAAGATCTCCCCTTGGCTTCCCCTGAAGCCCTTCTAAGTAGGAGGGCAAAGAGGGGGTTGAGCTATCAGAATCCTGAATAATTCATGAGACCCGCCTCTTTAGTTGGGAACCACGCCCTTGAATCGTGCTGACGCACTTTGCGTGTACCAAACTTGAGGAAGCGACGTAGCAGTTCCCGCCCCTAGAGCGGAGGGCGGGGCATCTTCTCCAGCACGTGCTGCATCTACCCGCGCAAGCCCAAAAGAGTGTGCGCAGGCGCTGCCCACTAGGGGGAGGAAGGAGGCGGGGTAGGGAGGTTGTTGGGTTTAGAGCCGGGCGGAGACGGCTGAGACTCATTCCTCAGGAACAAGGGTCGGGTGTCAAGGAGACCTTTTCACACCAGCTCCTGTTCCCCGCCTACGGTTGGTGGGATCGCGCAGCAGAAACAAAAAGGATATCAGTAGGGCCGGACATAGGTGCGAAGGAAAGTAGGGTGTCAGTTTGGGGTGGTGGGCTTTTGAGGGGGTCGAGGGGTAAATCTATTTAAACTCCCGGAGCCGTTAAGTTGCTTCGTACTCTGATGCGCGCGCAACCAGGGTGGTGGCGGAGTGCGCATGCGTGGCTCCGGGACGAGAGGAACGCGCTCCAGCGGTGCGCGCTCGCGGCAGAGAGGCAGTGGTAGAGGAGAAAGGGGCCGGCGCACGCGCGGTTGATTCCTCGAGTTGTTCGGGTCTCGCGGGCATCTTGTTTTGGTCTCGCGGGCGAGTGGGGCGCGCTTTGGGGGGAGGTGCTTGGAGTCGAGACTAAGCGATAAGAGCCGAGCTGCGCGCGCACTCGGGAAAGGGGGGAAGGGAGCGGGGTCTAAGAAGGGGGGGTCATCCCCCTCAAGCCCTGGTTACCCTCGACTGGGACGGAATAAGGGGAGGAAATGATCGAGATGGCGGCGGAGAAGGAGCCGTTTCTAGTGCCGGCCCCGCCGCCGCCGCTCAAAGAACAGTCGGGCGGAGGGGGCGGCCCCACGGTGCCACCGCACCAAGAGGCCGCCTCAGGGGAGCTCCGCGGCGGGACGGAGCGTGGGTCGGCCCCTCGCGCACAGTCGGCTGGGGTCCCGGCTTCAGGGGCTGGCAAGCAGAGCCCGGGGGTCGCACAGCATCGAGGGGGCGGCCCCCAGGCACTGTCGCACGGGGAGGCCCGCTTGTCGGATCCTCACGGGCGAGCCGCTCCCCCGGACGTGGGGGAGGAGCGACGGGGCGGGGGCGGAACAGAACTGGGTCCCCCTGTCCCTCCTCGACCCCGTAATGGCTATCAGCCCCACCGACCCCCTGGGGGTGGTGGAGGCAAAAGGAGAAATAGCTGTAATGTAGGAGGAGGTGGTGGAGGCTTCAAACATCCGGCCTTCAAGAGGCGCAGGCGGGTTAATTCGGACTGTGACTCTTTATTACCCTCCAACTTCCTCCTGGGGGGCAATATTTTTGATCCGCTGAACCTGAATAGTCTCCTGGATGAGGAAGTGAGCCGAGCACTCAATGCGGAGACCCCTAAGTCATCTCCCCTTCCGGCCAAAGGGCGGGACCCTGTGGAAATCCTCATCCCCAAAGACATTACTGACCCGCTCAGTCTCAATACTTGCACTGATGAGGCCCAGGTAGTTCTTGCTTCACCTCTCAAGACGGGTCGGAAACGGCATAGACACCGGGGACAACACCATCAGCAGCAGCAGGCATCTGGAGGGAATGATAGCCACTCTGTGCTGCCCACATCCCCTCTCACTCCCTCAGTCCACGGGGAGGGCACCACACAACAGCAGCGGCATAGGGGCCAGAACCGGGATGCACCCCAACCCTATGAACTCAACACAGCCATCAACTGCAGGGATGAAGTTGTGTCTCCCCTTCCATCTGCCCTGCAGGGTCCCTCAGGCTCCCTTCCAGCCCCCTCAGCTGCCTCAGTTACCTCTGCATCCTCATCTTCCTCACGACATCGAAAACGCCGCAGGACTTCCAGCAAGTCAGAGGCAGGGGCTAGGGGTGGAAGCCATGGTTCCAAGGAAAAGAGCCGAGGGAGTGGGGGAGGCCGCCACCACCACCCACTACCTGCAGCAGGCTTCAAAAAACAACAGCCCAAGTTCCAGTATGGGAATTATTGCAAGTACTATGGGTATCGCAATCCTTCCTGTGAGGATGTGCGTCTTCGGGTATTGAAGCCTGAGTGGTTTCGGGGCCGGGACGTCCTTGATCTGGGCTGCAATGTTGGTCACCTCACCCTGAGCATTGCCTGCAAGTGGGGTCCATCTCGCATGGTGGGCCTGGACATTGATGCCCGGCTCATCCATTCTGCCCGCCAAAACATCCGGCACTACTTGTCTGAAGAGCTCCGTCTCCCATCTCAAACTTCTGAGGGGGATCGGGGGGCAGAGGGTGAGGAAAGGACAACCACTGTCCGAAAGAGAAGCTGCTTCCCAGCGTCACTGACAGCCAGCCGAGGTCCCATTGCTGCACCCCAAGTGCCCTTGGATGGAGCAGACACATCAGTCTTCCCCAACAACGTTGTCTTCGTCACGGTAAGAAGGTCCAGAGGTTCTTGGAATTGGGACCAGGTATGAAAAGATTAAATGGGAATGGGGCAGGTGAAGGTTATGACCCAGAGGGGATTCCATGCATTCATTCCTTGTTAGGAAAACCAGATCCTCAAGAGTCTGGATTGGCAAGTGAGAACCTTTGCTGGGTGACTCCCTCTGATAACCTGAAAAGGTGTGGGGCTTTAACCCTGGGGTCCTTTCTCATGATTTCCAAGGATCTCTTCCCCAAGATAGAGGCTAATTCCCTTTTCCCTGCTTCCAGCCTGGACTGTAATTCAGACTGATCCACCGCCTCTTGAAAGCTGCTGCTGCTCACTAGCAATTGAGTCCATGTGGAACCTTGTTCTCAATTTTTCTAACAGCATGAGGGATGGGTGTCATACGTGTAATGTCTTACGGGGAAGGAGAGAATAGGGTAGTGGCAGACTAATATTTATAGTGTCTTTCCTTTGATAGGGCCCACAGTTGCTTTTGTTTTCCCTTGACAGAGTTCTCTGTAAGAGTGTCAAGAATCCAAGTAGTTGGACTTTAGATTATCTCCATGTTGACCCTAGGTAATGGGAGGGGGGAAGAGTCAGACCTCTGCAGAGAGGGGAGGGTACTGTGCCTTGCAGAGTGCCTATCCCTTGTCTACACACAGCTCTCAGTAAAACACTCATTAGGCTTTCGGTCAGAATATTTGGCATTGTGTTGGGGTTCACCCTGAAAAATGGATTTTCTAATGGGTGATGATAAGCTTATCACCTAGAAAAGGTTTCCTAAGGGATGTAGCTCTTCATTTCTCTTGCAGAAAGGAAAAAATAAGCCTGAAACTTTGCCAGCCCCAACTGCAGGGAGGGAACCATGGCCTCCTTTGAAATCTGGGAAGTTACCCTTGTATTAACATTGAGTTGCTTTGCATAAGGTTTGTGGGTGAGAATAAGCACAGAGTAGGGTTTAGGGAGAACCCTAGTCTCTCCCTCTGTAATCTAAGCCCAGCTTGGAAGACTGTGGGTAATTTGCCCCGTTGAAAGTACCAGGCTCCTTTTTAATGCTTGTTTTGGTTTGCCATCAGTAGGAAACAGGCAGGCGAGAGTAGAGAGAAAATGAGACTCGGAGGGCACCATTTGGGAGTCTGAGGAGTGCCTGAGAAGAATGTGACCACAGGCTAAAGTGAGGCTCCAGGACTTTGTCTCAGCTGCTGCAGAGCGGGTTGTTGGGGGCTGTGAATCTTGTAATCTCTGTGCTGACCTCCCCCAATTCTTGCCCTTAGGGTAATTATGTGCTGGATCGAGATGAGCTAGTGGAGGCACAGACACCAGAGTATGATGTGGTGCTATGCCTCAGCCTCACCAAGTGGGTGCATCTGAACTGGGGAGATGAGGGGCTGAAGCGCATGTTTCGCCGGATTTATCGGCACCTACGTCCTGGGGGCATCCTAGTCCTGGAGCCCCAACCCTGGTCATCCTACGCCAAGAGAAAGTCACTGACGGTGAGTTGGTTTCAGTGGAAATGGGGAATAAGACTTCTTTTGGAAGAGGCCAGAAACACCTCCAGGAAACAGAAAGAGGACTTTATGCACAAGCTGGAAAGGCCCTTTGGGTGGGCATCACCTTTAGCCAGGGGAAGAGGTTTGTAAGCTGAAGTGGTCCTCTGCCTTTCTCCCTAGGAAACAATCTACAAGAACTACTACCGAATAAAGCTGAAGCCAGAGCAGTTCAGTTCCTACCTGATGTCCTCTGAGGTGGGCTTCTCTAGCTATGAGCTTGTGGCCACACCACATAACACCTCTAAAGGTAAGACTGGCTTATTTTGTTGGGGAAGGCAGTCTTGGCTGAGAGGGCATAAGCCCTGTGGGAAGTCCAGAGGCTCTACCAGCCCCTTCTGATTGTACACTCTCCCCTTAGGCTTCCAGCGACCTGTGTATGTATTCCACAAGGCCCGTTCCCCCAGCCACTAAGTGGACCCCTGAACAGAAAGTATGAAGAGGCTGCTGTCACTGCTTCTGAGGACCTGGGGGAAGAGGAAAGTATCCCAAGGCCTTTCCTTTTTGACTCCAAAAATAGTTTCCTTTCTTGGATCTGCAGAGAAAGCTTTTCTTACGTTGCTGCCCCAGCCTCCCCTACACTTCTGGCACCTAAGCAGCAAGCCCAGCTGTGCTGGAGTTACCATCATCTTCCCCTCTCCCAGCCTCCTGGGCTGGATGGCATGGGACTGTTCGCCTACTGTTCTCCTAGGACTTGGGAGGTGTGGGTGATGTCAAAATCTCTATCCCCTTCCTCCTATTCTCCCAAGGACAGAGATTCCCATTTTTTCTTGTTCCTTGTCCCTAGCTGCATTTTAATGGACTAAAGTGGGGAAGCTTGGCAGGGAGGCACACAGGTACTGTGAAAATCCTTCCCTGTGCTGTCCCCCAATGGGAGAAGGGGTTGGGTTTTGAATGTGAGAACAGCACAATAAACTTGATGTCTAGGGCAGTGGCCCCCACACCTATGCCTGGTACTTTCTAACTGGTGGGGAAAGGATGGTGCCTCCCAGTAGAACCTGTGCTCCCTCTCTGCTCTCATTACAGGAGTGATTTTCAACTGGTGTGCCATGAAAATTTTTAAGATTATTTTTTGAAAAATTCAAAGCACAATAAGCGTTTCCTTTTTTTACTTTTTTCTTTGATCAACATAATATTTAAGTGTGCTGTGGAAGTTTATAGGTTTGAGTGTGGCGTGAGATAAAAAGGTTGAAAAACATTGTACTAGAGTCTCAAGACAGGTTTTTAGTCTTCTGGGTGATTATCAAGTGCTACTCAAATCTATACACAGGTATACAGAACCCTAGTCAGGAAAAGGGATATAATGCATATTTTGATATGGAACTTGAAGGAAGATTCCATGTTCTTCCCCCCCCCCCAAATTCCCCAAATGCCCTATTGACATATTTTTTGTGTGGAAGCTTTACACAGAAAGCTAATTTTGGACAGTTAACCACGCAGTGGAGGGAAGAAAAAACACCTTGGACCAGAGCCACCTAGCTGATCCTAGACACATCAGCCACATTTCTGTGCTGTGGAGTCAGATGTAAAGGCAATTAACATGAAACTCTTCAATGGCTCAAATGTTAGTGGAGCTTCCAGCATTTGTTAATTTGTTCAACAAATACTGAACACTCATGATAAGGTGTAAACAAGATGGGCAGGGCCCTTAAAAGTAAAAAGCAAGGAGATACTATGAGTAGCCAGCATGTGCCTTGCTTACTGAGATAGGCATTTAGGAAAGGTCTTCCCTTTTAAATGATCAAAAATAAGTGGTGTGGCTCGGCGCCTATAGCTCAACCAGCTAAGGCGCCAGCCACGTACACCTAAGGTGGCGGGTTCGAATCCCCAGCCTGGACCCGCCAAACAACAATGACGGCTGCAACCAAAAAATAGCCGGGCGTTGTGGCGGGTGCCTGTGGTCCCAGCTACTTGGGAGGCGGAGGCAGGAGACTCGCTTGAGCCCAGGAGTTGGAGGTTGCTGTGAGCTGTAATGCCACAGCCCTCTACCCAGGGGGACAGCTTGAGGCTCTGTCTCAAAAAAAAAAAAGTGGTGCATTGCTGGGAGTTGTGGGCACCTGTAGTCTCAGCTACTTGGGAGGCCGAGGCAAGAGAATCACTTGAGCCCAAGAGTTTGAGGTGGTTGTGAGCTATGATGCCCAGCACACTACCAGGGTGACAGAAAGAGACTCTGTCTCAAAAAAAAAAAAAGTGGTGTAGGGCAGCACCTGTGGCTCAAAGGAGTAAGGTGCTGGCCCCCTATGCCAGAGTTGGCAGGTTCAAACCCAGCTCCGGCCAAAAACTGCAAAAAAAGGTGCAAAGGAACAACTGTCATCAAAAACGTGGTGCCTGTGACTGGAGTCAGGAAAAGGCAGGTAAGGTGGTCAAGGCAGAGGTATCTAACCCTTGACCTGAACTTAGCCAGTACTCTACCCCAAGTTTCTTAAAAAGCCCCCAAACTCATCTCTGAGGGCAGCTTCCAGCCTAAGGCTAAGTGGACAACCCCCTGGAGGTTTTAGCCCCACCTTAGGGCTCTAAGTCGAGTCTCATTTGTTAGCAAAATTACTTTATTTTGAAAAATTATTTTAACACACAAAAATAAGTGCTACCCATCCAGAGAGCTTTGAGTTCTAAGCTTCCCATCGCCTTAGTGTCCGATGCATGAGGAAGGTGTTCTCTGAAGGTCGGGGCCGGAGCTGAAGCCGGAGACGGGGAAGACCATCCAGGGCCAGGTGTGGTGATTCATAAAACAGTGTGTCTGGGTCACACAAGATGGTCATGTCTGGGCCTGGCCCAGGTGGCTCCTATTGGGAATTGGGGCCCAAAGCAACGTTACACTCCAGGGAAAAAAAGAAAAAGCAGCGAGGGAGGGGTACAGGGAGGAAGCCCCAAGCCCTGGTCTCTTCACCTTTGGAGGCCAAGGTCGGGCCTGCGGGAGGAGAGCCAATTTTTCCCTCAGCGCAGCGTTCAGAACGTGTTCCTCCGGCACCTGCAGGCTCACCAGGTCCCGGAAGAGGCGCTTGGACCGCGGTACGTTGAGCCCTGAGACCGCGAGGAGGGAAGAGGAGCGGAGGTGAGCGGGGTCCTTCACCCCAACTCCTGCCCTCGCCAGCCAGCCGCCCGCTCCCCTCACCCTCAGACACGTTCTCCTCCAGTCCGCAGCGGATCTGGAACGACTTTCTCAGCTGTTCCTCCACGGCCTTCGCAGCATCAAACTGGTTCCCGGCTGCAGCCCGCGCGGCCTGCAGTTCAAGGCTCAAGGCCAAGCTGCTCTGTACCGCGGGCACCTCCAGCTCCTGCGGCGCCGCAAGCTTGTCGCTCGGTGTAGCGGCTGCCGATAGCGGCTCAGACCGAACTGGGGAAGGCGGCGCCAGGCGGAAACGGACCTGGGAGCAGAGAGTAGTGCCGTGAAGACTTAGGCGCCGGGCCTTAAACAGCAGGGGTGCCAGGCCTTCCCCCAGCTCACCTGCCGCCTCTTCCGAGCCCCGCCTCGCCGCTCCCCCCGCCCCTTCCGCTGCCCAGAGCTGCAGTTTCGCGGCTCTGGGCTCTCGGGCCGCGAGCTCAGGCTCAGATCCAGGCCGGGTTCAGGCACCGGGGCTCGGGGTTCCTGGGCTCGGGGTTCTGGGGGTGGCCCTGGGACCGCCACGGCCTCTTCCCCTTCTATGGACTCCAGCTCTGACTCCCCATAGTCCATCATCTTTGGAGTTGCGGCGGGAGTCGCAGGTTAGCTACTCAGCTCAGGTTGGCCACCCCTTTTGCCCCGCCCTCCCAGGCGCCGCTACCGGGGCGGAGTCAGCTCCCCGCCCCGCCCTATTGGTGCTCCCAAACGTCATTTCTTTTGCTCCGCCCCCAGTTTACCGGCGAGCTTTTGGCCACAACCTTGGCACCGCCCCAAAGTCGAAGTGTTTTAGAGCTGCATCTCGTTGAAGCTCTACGGGTCTTCATAAGGCCCACTTCGTTTGAAAGCTAGCCCGGCGGAATCTTCGCCCGGCCTGAGGTGGGGTGCTGAGTGTGTCAGTCTTCCCTCTTGGAGCAGTTTAACTTTAAACAGTCCAGTGTTTCTGCATCTAGGCCTCCCCACTCGGTGCCTCCACAGCATTTCCGGGTGTTCAGTCATCCCCGAACTTGGACCGCAGAGCCCCAGCCTGAGTGGGGGCGGGGCTCACGGACCCATCCCTAGGCTGGGTCCTCTCTGGCAGCCTTTTGTAACTTCTTTTTCCCTTCGAGAGTTCCCTAAAATGTTAATCCTTATAAAAATAGGTATGTGTATTCTGGGTACAGTGTGTGTGTGGGTGTGAGAATTTATCCTGGCCTCCAAGCTTCTCAAGATCCCTGGACTGTGAAACAAGATATTGGAGCTTCCACCGCCTCCCTAGGTTACTTGGGACAGGTCCCCTCAGTTCTGTGAGCCTCCATTTATTCTTATGTGAAAGGTAGTGAGTTGGGTTCAGGAATCTTGAGGCTGTCCCAGAATTAATTCATACTCAGTCCGCGGGCATGTTTGTGTACCACTGCTCAGCTTGAGAGTTTTCACTTCCTCTGTCTTATCTTTCCAGGAAATACTGTTGAAGACAAAATAGAACGTATAGTATAGCCTTAATTTACAAAAATTTTAAAGGAAGATCTTACAAAGACTCCAGGTGAAACACTGGAGCCTTTCTTGCTAAAGTCTAGAGTAAGAAATATGTCCATTACTTTTACTGTTCAATTGTGAAAGGGAATAGGGAGGTACAAATGTAATTTTTTATTTTAATTACACTCTGTTGCTCTAGGCTAGAGTGGCGTGATCATAGCTCACTGCAGCATTCAACTCCTGGGCTCAGGCAATCCTGCCTCAACATCCTGAGTAGCTAGGACTATAGACAACCATGCCCCACTAATTTTTTTTTACCTTTTATAGAGAGGGGTCTTCCAGTGTTGCCCGGTCTGGTCTGCAACTCCTGGCCTCCAGGGTTCCTCCTTTCCCAGCCTCCCAAGTGGCTGGAATTACAGGCTTCAGGCACTGCACTCAGCCAAATACAAATATTTTTTCAAGTGGAAGTATAGATTATTTAAAAATTTAAATGGTAACATATGGGGAAGAACAGAATAGAATGAAGAGAAACTCTAACTATGCTTTGTTTTGTATATTTCATGCAGTTACGTGAAAAAAGGTTTTAAAAATAAATATCTTAAAGTTCAAAGAAAATCAAAACAAACCTAATTGTGTACATAGTGACATAACTACACAGAAGGTAACACTTCTGAAATAACTTTAAAATAGTAATTTATGCCTCTCTGAGATCTATTGTAAGGACAAAATAACTGCCATTTAAAAAAAAAACTGCCAAAAAATACAATCTTATTCTATTCTTAGTAGTCTTGCTGAGAATACGTGAGAATGTATAGCGTAACACAGATAACATTATTGATATCAGAACTGGAATTTTGAAATAAAAGATGTAGGAGATGCTGATGTAGAATCAGTGATATTATGCAAAACCCCTATAGTCTTGAATCGGGATAGGAAGTATTTATATGAATTCATGGTATGTTTTACCTAAAATTAAAAAGTACTTATAACCTAATTCTGTCCGCTGAAAAGCCCTTAGAAACAATGACACAGTGTGCATTCCTGGTCCTCACATGTAGGCTCCAAATTCCATATCTTGGGTATTTAAAAACCTGTACACTAATGTTAATAGCAGCTTTATCCATAACCACCAAAATCTGGAAATGACCTTAACAGGTAAAGAGTTAAACATTACATTTGGGATACTAGATTTCTGCCCATGCTCAGACATCAGCATCCATTTCTTTGCCATTTGGGGCTAAATGAGTAAGGGGGTGGGATAGGGGACTAGCAGCCCAATATCTAATGGCTGGCTGCCCTCCTGGGGAGGCTAAGTCTCCATTATCTGCTTTTCCTGCCTTTCTGCCTCAGGTATGACTATCAGAAGGGTGTTCCCTAGGAAGGGACCACGAGAGGTTTTGCAAAATGAAAATACTAGCAACAGGGTGAATCCTCATGAGACTATCCCCAAGGAACAAGCTTATTACAGTGACAGGTCCCAATGTGAAAAGGCTGTCCTATTTAGTTCGTAAAGCTCTTTAACCCTCATTTAGAACTCACCAAGTATCCATGAAGAGGCCTTTATCATCTACTTATTTTACAGAAGAAACTGAGGCCCAGAGACATTAACTGATCCTCCTGCCAGCAATCCTATGATAAAGGTGTCACATTCATGTTTAAGTTATAGAAGGAGAGAAACATGCTGGAAACCTAGGACAGGTTAGTTACTGAATTTGGCCCAAACTTTAGCATTGAACTGCTTGGCAGCCAGGGCAGAAGATGAAACTTGCCAGCTACTTAATTTACATAACAAAAGAAGGCATCTTGTCTCCTTGGGGAGTCCTTAGCAGGGGTATTCCCCCCCACCCCACCTGCCCTCTCTCTTGCTCCAGCTCCCAGCTACTGGGGTAGCTGGCTTGAGGGAAGCAGAGTTGCTTCAGCTGGGCTCATCTAAGGGTAGGAGAAGACAGTGGCAACAACAAACCTGGGGATGGTGTTTTTGACATACAAATGGACTCCCAGGAACCTGAGCTTGGAATTAGGGAGGGCCTAGGCACTTGTTTACTGTCCCCTAAGACCTGCTCCTGTCTCCCAGTGGACTGACCTGGGTTGCAATTCCAGCTCCAGTGCCTATGGAGAATGTGACCTGGGGATCATTCCCTTTCATCAAAGCACCCTGACTTCCTCATCTGCATCCTGGGGAGAAAACTTGCCTCACGTGGTTGCCAGAGCTCAGATGAGGCTCTCAGAAAGCCAAGTCCTTGTTTTTCAGGAGCTGATGGCAAGGGCAAAGGTGCTATTATCTTCGTCTTTCCTCTCTTCCCACCATTGACCTTTAGCCTTTCCTCTCTGGACATCCTTGGAGACATCCTGTCAGTTCTCATTTTCATTGTTTCTGCAGCAAATGAACAGAATGTCAGGGATTCTAGGAGACAAAAGGCCCCCAGGGTCAGGGAAGGGAGTCCTTCCTGCCTCTGGTTCCTGCTTGCTGGCCCCATGCATGCTTCCTCCAGCCCCAGTGCTGCTCTGTGGAAAAGGCAGATAAGACAGAAAATGTGTCCCCAGTTCTCAGGAAGCTCAGAGTCCTACAGGGCTGAAGACATGCTTCTCAACTGCTTCCTGACACCTGCTCTTTACCAGGGCCTGAGAGTGTAGTGGGTGGCTCTGAGAGGAGCCTTGGCGGGGAGGGTCTCTGTCCAGCCCTATGCATCCACCAGCCTTGGCCCTCCCAGACCTCAGCACCCAGGCCAGGCCAGAGCCTACATGAAAGATGAAGCAAAATCCCATGAAACCTGTACAGTTTAACCACTGGGACTGGTTCAGCCTAGAGATTCGGAAGGCTTCCTGGAGGAAGACCTTGAAGGACGTAGGAGATTGAACAGGAACTTGCTGTTCTCTCCTGCAGGCGGATGCTGCCCTGTCCCTTCCCTTCTCCATTCCAGACTCTGCAGACCTTCCTTCCCTCCTTAGCTAGCCCCACCAATGGGGCCTCCAACCTGGCCTTGACTCACCTCTGCTTTCTGCTACATCCTTCCTGTCTCCAAATCAAAATTCAGGAGGCCAAGGATCTAGTTGTGACAATTTGTAACAGCAGCTACAGGAAACTAGTAAAATTAGGTTAGGCGAGAGGTCTTAGCTGCATCCTGTGCCCCCGGGTATGCCCTACACCTTCACCTTAGCAGTATCCCTCTCTCTGGGGGGAAGGATTTGGTCATGAAGGGCCATCTCCCTTGAGAGGGCCTCTCCAGGGGCCACAGAGTTTCCAAGGGAAACAGGGACAGAGGCAGGAGGAGAAAGAGTGGACAGTGTGAGACAGGTATAGAACTCAAGGCACTAGAGAAGGAAGCCCAGTATGGGGTTTGACTGCATGACTTAGGGGGACATCTGTTCAGGGAAAGGGTGGCGGAGTGGTGTCAGCACTAAGAGGACTGCTTAGGGAAGGGGTTTTATGGTATGGAGCAGTTGGTGGGGAGGGTCTCTGTCCAGCCCTATGCATCCAGCAGCCTCAAACATCTTAAGGCCCAGGAAGCAGGAGCTGCACAGTTGGTCACCAGTCATAATCAGCAAGTGTCAGGTTGCCACAGCAACAAAAAAGCTTGGTCTAGAAGCTGAGGCCTTAGACACTGAGTTTCAAGAGAAGCTCCAGAGTTGGGGCCCAGCCCTCTCTCCACAAATTGCTCCCCTGTACATACCCAGTCAGTCCTCAGCTTGTTATTCTGGAAACAAAGAAGTTGAGGCCCAGTGGTTGTAGGCTGCAGGAATAGAGCAACAGCAGTGGGACATGAGTGCATCAGGAAGCTAGTTGGTGGGGAAGAGGCCTTTCCCACAATGTGTCATGGCCACAGAAGTAGATAAGGTGAGATTGAAGACCTGATGCTGCCTTCAGGTGCAGCAGGGGTAGGGACTGACTTAATGAGGGTGGGCAGGTGTCCAGGTCACACACAAGCTCGCTTCATCTTGTACTCCCTCCCCCTCTTCCTCAATGACCTTAAAGTTCACGTTCCTTCTCCCACCCCTCTCTCCAGCTTTATATCCCCTTCCTGACCCCAGGAGAGCACTGAACCCCCAAGGTGCCTTCCATTACCTTCCCCTAATGCAGCCTTTGGTGCAGTGCCCACCCCAACCAAACTTAACTTGGATGAAGATATAGATTCCTAGGCCCCACCTCAAACTCTGGCTTTGAAGCCAGGAATTT